ACTTAAGTCGGAAACTACTACCCAGGGAAGTAAGCTATGCCGCCATCGAGAAGGAATGCCTGGCGGTAGTGTGGGCCCTCAAGAAACTCCAGCCCTACTTATATGGACAACAATATGCCTTGCTCACAGATCACAACCCGTTGGTGTGGCTAAACCGGGTGTCAGGGGACAATGCTAGACTGCTGAGATGGAGCTTGGCGCTGCAGTCCTTTGATTTCACCATCCAGTACCGCCCGGGAAAACAAAATGGTAATGCCGACGGGTTGTCCCGACAGACAGAACTAGAAAAATGATCTGTGAGCACTCTCCCGGACATCCCCAAGCCAATCCGATGGGATCAGACTGTGTATGCCGGCTTGGTTCTGGGGGAGCATTCTGGCAAACCCTGCCACTTGGACTAATTATTCTGTGTGAATAGGTGTATTTCACCAAGGGAATAACCACACGAATTGACTTTCATGGTATTGTAATGTTTTTATTCGAATGTCCGAAACTACCGAACGGGAGACCAGGAGACCTTGTTGCGAATGGAATTAAGTACCTGTATGTGTGGCCGCCATTTCGCCTACCGAACACGTGGCGGCGGCCATCTTACGCACGAACAGCGGTACTTGGTTGTCGAACGCCTGGAACTCAAGCCGGGCATTCGACTAACCAAGCACCGCTAAGACCTCCAGCATGCTCCGACAAATGAATCTAACACACGAACGCCCCGGCGTTAGGTAGATAGATTCCCCTAAACGAGGGGAATCATACGAATGGTAGCAATCGCATGGATGGCTAACCGTTCGGTATTTGTGGTTCACTGAAATAGACCGACCGCAGGGCCAGAATGCATGGAACTGTTTTCGGTTACTGAGTCCCTGCGGTCGGTCAAATCTTTAACAGTCTGTAACTCCCGAACCCCTGGTCCGATCTGGGTGAATTTCAAGTATGTTGCTCACCCAGATCAGACCTACCAGGGGACCCCTTATTTGTCCCTGTTCCCCATGTATTTAGGGGACATCCAGAAAGTGGGGAAAACTCTGTCTCCACTAATCTGTTTGACTGTTAATCTAAGGGGAGGAGAGTGAGGGGAGGTGACCAGGTTACAATTGGTTACTGTACAAATTATGAAAGTTACCTCCCTTGCATTGGAGAAATGCATAAAAGCAGACCTGTGATTAAAGCTATCAGTTGACTCCCAGACTATGTGTCGTCTAGTCCTTGGGGAGGTGGATTATGCTGTGTTCCTGTGACTTTGTATGCTGAATCTTTGTTCCCAGCGGAGAGCCCTTGGATTAATCCCTGCTCCTCCGCTACAGAAGCTTTTACTAAAGGAGCCTATTTCCTGATTACCAACAGGAACTCTATAAAGTGTAAAACCAAATGAATAAAGAACTGAGTTATTCATAGCCAATATCAACAGAAAGAAAGACATGAAAAAACAAAGAATAACCAAAAACAAATGTTGCAGCCACTTGATGTGCTTCATAAAGGTACAGTGCAAACTGTAGATCTTGATGGGGTAAAGACTGCCACGTTGGCTACATCCCAGTGGTGAGTCGGCTGGGTGGCGGAAAGTCCAAGGGACTGTAGAAACTTTGCAGCAATGAGTGCCCTAGGGTAACCCCATTTGTATGGGATGTCCACAGCTCGGAGTTGGGCGGTTATTCCCTTGATGGAAGCTCTCCATTGCAGAATTTTGCGGCTGAAGAAACTTAGCTGGGGTTCTTCAAAGGTATAAGGGGTTTGCCCCCGACTGCTTGCAGCAAACTTTCCTAGTTGCTCCGCGACTTGAAGCACATGATGATGTCTTTGCGTTGCGGGATTGCCCGGGTGTTCGGAACAGTCCTTCCAAGGCTTAAACAAAAATACAAACACAAGATGGAGTATCTTACATTCAGCTTTGGTACTGTATGTGGTTAGTGCAATTAGGGATAATTCCTGCAAAGGAAAAGGAAAAAACACTAGTGCAATATCGTCTGGAACTAGTGGAAGAAATAGGTAAGTATATATAATTTCACTCACAAGTGTGGAGCCAGTATATAATCAGTTCAAAATGTCAGCTTGGTGAGATTTATGGGGTCACACTCCCTCTCTGGTATGTGGAAAGCTGCAGCTTCTTATAGTAGTCACAGATCCAGGTTCATGGAAAAGAGCTTTTATTTCATCATAAAGTGCAACAAACGGATAAAAATGCTTTAAATATTAATAAAAAGTTTGTACAGTCTCTTCTGTAGTGTGCAAAATGCGTTTCGCCTCTCTAGGAGGCTTCTTCAGTTTCTGTAATATAGTCTGTGGTTAGTCCTTCTTATATACCATTCCCTTGGCTTGTTTAGGTGGTAAGGCGGTGGTTAACAACCTCCTGATGTATTGTGGCACTTCAGCTGCATCGATGGAGTCAGGGACCCCTCGCACTTTTAGGTTGCGGAGCCTGGCCGTGTCCTCCAGTTGTCCGATTTTGGTGCTCAGTTGTTCACAGGTTCTTGATAGTTCCTGCATTTGCGTTGTAGAGGAATCTTCCTCTATGGCACGTATTCTGCCTGTCAGGGAGTTTAGTTCTTCTTTCAGCATAGCTATCTCTGAAGCAAACATGGTCTTAAGGTCTGAGACCATGTTGGAGAGATCTGATTTTGAGGCCAGGGGAGGTTCTTTGAGTTTAAGGGGGACTTCCATACCCCTGCTGATAGGGTGACACTGGGGAGGATGACAATGACTCCTGTGCCAAGTCACGTAGTAAGGCCGCCATGTTGGGCCTGCTGATTTGGGAGAGAAGCTGGTCGGCGTCGCGGGTATGTCCCTCACTCGGGAGTGCTTCCCCACTGTTTCTGGATATAAGTATTTGCCTTTAGTGTCTTGTTATTTTGCTCTGTTAGTGTCTTTCAGGTAGCATTTCAGCACCATGCCTCTGTTCAGGTCGCCAGTTAGCTCCGCCCCCTTAAATAATAATTATTTTTATACTTGATCAGGCTGAAAGTTTAAAAATAGCAGAAATAGTTAAAGTGTTGACATATTATCAAATATTACATGTACAATGTACATTTTAAATCTTAATCCAGCATGCACGCTAATAATGTTATCAATAGCGCTAACATTGCACACAATGCCCGACTCAGGACAATGGTCTAGTACAGGGGTAGGCAACCTTCGGCACTCCAGATGTTCTAGCAGAATTAAAGTAATAAGTGGATAAGAAAATATGAAGACATTGCTTCAAATTGATCTCAATGAACTGTGAGCACCATGAAGAGGAAAAAAATTAAAAGCGGCATCATAGCATTAAGATAACATAAGGATGAAAAAAAGTCCAAAGTCAGTGTGGTCAACAAAAAGTAAAACGCAGTATTACCAGTAATGTATAAGACGTCCTTCAGAGCCTGGAGATATCAGAAAGATAATTCTTTGACCTGCTTCTAGAGACTTGCATTGAACAAATGGAAAGCAGTCAAGGTCTCAGAGTGTGCCCACTCCTACATGAGATCTGACTCATGATCTTTCATTAATAAGGGAGCAAAGTTGGCCCTCTCTATATGGAATATTAGTGTCCCAAATACTGTAAACACCATAAACACTACAGCACGCTGTCATGGAAATGATGCCAGAAGTGCCCTGGCACCTCCAATGTAAGTAAAATGGTTTGACTTGTTACCAAGGGTGCCTCAGGTGCCAGTCACTTCTGCCAATGAGACCCCAAAATTCCTTCCACGAGTAGGGACAGCTCATTGGCTGAGAGTGTCAGCTGATTTTCAACTAATTACTGTCTAGTTAGTTCCCATCAGTGCTAGGCAGACCCCTTATAAGTTTTCAAACCGTTTATAATTACCTGTATGAGGGGGACAGCAGGGTATTCTTCGTACCATAACTACTACAGCGCACTACAGGCTAAACTTACTTCAGCTTCATCTGATGGAAGGAACAATATTGTTTTTTTAAAAATATATGTATATTTGGTATGGTATTGGTACTACTGGCACAATATAAATATATTGGTTTAATATAACAATATTTTTATAATAAGAGAATGTCTACAAACAAAAAGCACATATAATTACAGCTGCTGGACAGGTTTCTATTGGTGTTTCCTTTTATATTTTGCAAAAAATAATAAACATAATAAACGGTGCTGCTTGGCCTTTATAATAAACATAAAACAATGCTTGCTACACATTACTCAAAATGAATAACAGAATCATCAGAGGGAAAACATTATCCTTGCTAATTGGATATCATCTCAATTATTTTGACATTTATTTATATTTACACATATTATTTGTAGATACATTTTTGTTTGCTTTTCATTACTGGCACATTGGGTAGTGTTGGTTAATCTTTACAGCTTGATGCAGTGTATCATGGGAAATGCTGTTCACAAATACATGGAGTGCCAAAATTAGACATTACTACTAAAGGGGAACCAGTGACTATGGAAATAAAATCTCAATCAGAGTAAATACAAAGAAGAGGATAAGGGAAAGACTGACAAAAAAATAAACAATGCATCTGTGTTTAATAGCTTGAACGGGTCTGGGCACTCTGGTTGGCTTTAAGCAAATTACAAAAGGATTTAGGTGGTGACAACGTTAGGGCTGAACTATAGAGCCTTTCTCAAGTCTAACACATAAATAAAAGTGCACTTCTATAGTGAAACAACAATTAAACAATCTTGTATATACATACTTTAGGAAAAATACGGTACCATAAAAAGTACTTGTTTAAATATAGTATTTTCTATTGTTCACACCTTGCTATGACTCGGTTTACCTACAAAGATACCCCCCTTTTCTACCTTATATCTTTCTTTTTAGGCCACACAAAAAAGAAAATATCTGACGATCTGGAAAGACGTTCCAGAAAAGAATACAAAAACACTTTGAAAAAAGTAGTACTCACTTGCAGCAAAAAGCCCCCCACTGCTGCTCACGCAGTGGAGACACACAGGATAAATAGAACAAACAAGAGGCTGCGCAAGAAGTTACAGTGTGCACACCAAGGTGCTCCTGGTATGTAAGTGGAGGACAGAGTATCACAAACGTTTCCAGTATTCCCTTTCTCAATGGGGGACATGATGCATTGAGAAAGGGAATACCCGAAACGTTTGTGATGTTCTGTCCTCCACTTACATACCAGGAGCACCTTGGTGTGCACACAGCAACTTCTTGCGCAGCCTCTTGTTTGTTCTATTTAGCCTTTCTTTTTTAGGCATTCTACACTTTATGCTCCCAGTAACGTGCCTTTAAACTAGGGATAGATTGATTATCAGTTCCACACTTTATTAGAGCCGATATTCAGCATTTTACCGATAACTGGTATCAGCCTTGTAATTCACATCTCCCAGTCACCGCACGCCATCTTCCGCATCCAGAAATTCCGGCCACCAGATAATGAGGCACCATGTTGCTGCCTCACATCACCCCTAGCTGTGAGTCCCCTCATGTAGAGCTCAGCTGAAGGCAGAGAGACAAGACAGTGAATACTCTACTGTAATGTACTGGGCTAACTGCCTGAAAGTAACAGCACTGTACATGCTGGTAATCTCACTGATCTCAGCATGTACTGGCTGCCTGAGAGTAATAGGAGTATGATTGCCGTCAGCATGTTCAAGTAATGCCAGATTTGTGTAGAAAGTGTGTTACTTTTTCAAAACTTTTAATGTGCAGAATACCTGTACCAGTTATGTGCAATCAGCCCAAAAGGTGATCGATAATCTATATCTGTATCGGCTCTGGAAAAATTATATTGGTGATTCCTACTGTAAACTTCAATAAATATGTTAGGAAACGAGTCTAAATAAATTAGACACTTTGATTGTGTTCTATATTACATATTCATGTAATAAATGTTTATCTTAACATCACAATGCCACCTTAAATGTACCTGACTGGCCCTACCAGGGCCCATCTTTTCATCATTTGATAATTTGGGAGAGATGGTTTTATATGTGTACTTGATTTAACTAAGTCCTGGCATTCTTTTACTTAGAGGAGTTAATAAAAAAAAAAAAAAAATGCAGTCAAATTTAAAAAAATGCATGAAACGAGTTACAACTACTTTTATGTGAAAGATGTAAAAATTCACTAAACTCCAACATGACAGTCCATCTTTAATGAGATAACTCCCACCCTCCTCTTCCATGACATCTCATTACCGCTGATATTTTTAGTATCTCTTTAATGCAGAAAGATTAATCTATGTGGGGTCTCTTTACAACGCGGATTCAGTTTGGAGGATCCAGAATACAAACCTTTTCTCTTTGGAATTCTAAAGGCCTTTTAAAATGTTCTGTACGATTCTCAAGACTTTCCAACTTAGCAAGGATTAGAAAGAAAAGACCATCGCTTGATAATGTCCAGTGGCTGTTGGGTACTGTAGGGGTGTGAGTTGTTCCATCAATGACAGACTGGCATGGTGCCTGCTGGATTCAGACCCACACTGCCTTGGGTACATCTTTTCATCAGCAAATGTGCTGGTCGTCTTTAAATGGCAGCACTGCAAAACTATGAATAGCTGAAATAAATTAAAGCACTGTGCTAAAGCAAGCAAAGAGTTTTGTCACCCTTTCCTGTTAGGGACATTGAGGGAGAGGGAAGGGGGGGTCTAGTCATTCAAACATGCCTGAAGGTTCCCTGAGGTGAAACCATTTGTGAGAACTGATAAGTGTGATTTTGGCTATGCTAACGGTAAAAGCGTTGCATTATTACTGTTGAGTTATCAGCCTTGTTCTCTGTGGCTAAACAGAACCAAAACAATTCCTTATCAGAGCAAGAAGCAAATATGCTTTTATTAGTAGTTGCCATGATGACTAGCATAACAATGGTGAAGAAATACGGTTGTGACATTTATGATGTGAAAATGTATGACATGAGCAGAACAGTAGTTGCTGTGACAGCTGTGGTGTTAGGAATACGGTAGTAGCTGTGACAGCTATGGTGTTAGGAATACGGTAGTAGCTGTGACAGTTGTGACGTGAGATAGTCACCATCACATGTAAATTGTCAGCTATGACCATTATGCCATAAGCAATACGAATGTGAAAATTGCAGCATGCATTTGGAACTGAGCACTGGAACTGCTGGTGCACAGATTTTCCATGGTTTAATTGGCTATAACCAATAAAAACATATACACACTGTAAGCTCATGAAAATCCCTCATCTTTTTTGGTTTTAAGAAGTGAAACAGATCTGTATATTTACATATGATATTGTCCTCTCACTGTATGTGGGATCTGAGTGATGCAAAGTGCATCAGCATCGTCACTCCTCTTTCACTATACATAGTGTCTACGTGATGCAAAGTGCATTAGCAGCACAGACCTAGTCACTCCTCGTTCACTATACATAGTGTCTACGTGATGCAAAGTGCATTAGCAGCACAGACCTCATCACCCCTCGTTCACTATACATAGTGTCTACGTGATGCAAAGTGCATTAGCAGCACAGACCTCGTCACTCCTCGTTCACTATACATAGTGTCTACGTGATGCAAAGTGCATTAGCAGCACAGACCTCGTCACCCCTCGTTCACAGTACATAGTGTCTACGTGATGCAAAGTGCATTAGCAGCACAGACCTCGTCACTCCTCGTTCACTATACATAGTGTCTACGTGATGCAAAGTGCATTAGCAGCACAGACCTCGTCACCCCTCGTTCACTATACAGTGTCTACGTAATGCAAAGTGCATTAGCAGCACAGACCTCGTCACCCCTCTTTCACTATACAGTGTCTACGTGATGCAAAGTGCATTAGCAGCACAGACTTCGTCACCCCTCTTTCACTATACATAGTGTCTACGTGATGCAAAGTGCATTAGCAGCACAGACCTCGTCACCCCTCGTTCACTATACATAGTGTCTACGTGATGCAAAGTGCATTAGCAGCACAGACCTCGTCACCCCTCTTTCACTATACAGTGTCTACGTGATGCAAAGTGCATAAGCAGCACAGACCTCGTCACCCCTCTTTCACTATGCATATTGTCTACGTGATGCAAAGTGCATTAGCAGCACAGACCTCGTCACCCCTCTTTCACTATACAAAGTGTCTACGTGATGCAAAGTGCATTAGCAGCACAGACCTCGTCACCCCTCGTTCACTATACATAGTGACTACGTGATGCAAAGTGCATTAGCAGCACAGACCTCGTCACCCCTCGTTCACTATACAGTGTCTACGTGATGCAAAGTGCATAAGCAGCACAGACTTCGTCACTCCTCGTTCACTATACATAGTGTCTACGTGATGCAAAGTGCATTAGCAGCACAGACCTCGTCACCCCTCTTTCACTATGCATAGTGTCTACGTGATGCAAAGTGCATTAGCAGCACAGACCTCGTCACCCCTCTTTCACTATACAGTGTCTATATGATGCAAAGTGCATTAGCAGCACAGACCTCGTCACTCCTCGTTCATTATACATAGTGTCTACATGATGCAAAGTGCATTAGCAGCACAGACCTCGTCACCCCTCTTTCACTATACATAGTGTCTACATGATGCAAAGTGCATTAGCAGCACAGACCTCGTCACCCCTCTTTCACTATACATAGTGTCTACGTGATGCAAAGTGCATTAGCAGCACAGACCTCGTCACCCCTCTTTCACTATACAGTGTCTACGTGATGCAAAGTGCATAAGCAGCACAGACCTCGTCACTCCTCGTTCACTATACATAGTGTCTACGTGATGCAAAGTGCATTAGCAGCACAGACCTTGTCACTCCTCGTTCACTATACATAGTGTCTACGTGATGCAAAGTGCATTAGCAGCACAGACCTCGTCACTCCTCGTTCATTATACATAGTGTCTACGTGATGCAAAGTGCATTAGCAGCACAGACCTTGTCACTCCTCGCTCACTATACATAGTGTCTATGTGATGCAAAGTGCATTAGCAGCACAGACCTCGTCACTCCTCATTCACTATACATAGTGTCTATGTGATGCAAAGTGCATAAGCAGCACAGACCTCGTCACTCCTCGTTCACTATACATAGTGTCTATGTGATGCAAAGTGCATTAGCAGCACAGTCCTCGTCACTCCTCGTTCACTATATCCAGCAACCAAACAAAGCAACATGTACTGGCGGCACAGCTTAAACATCATTAAAAGCTAATAGTTGCCATTACGAGAATATTGGTAAGCAAATAGGAAACATCATTCAGTTTCTGCTTCACATCATATATATTCAAAATATTCTTGCCTTATAAATAAAAAGAATAGAAACACATTTCAGATAAAAGCTCTGGACTGTCACTGGGAACCAAAAGACATAACCTTCAATTTATCATTAGCAGTTCCTCTTTGTGGCCTTGCCAGCTCCTCTTTGTGGCCTTGCTGCAGCTCAGCTCCAGATTCTAACAATCCCACTAGAGATTTAAATTAATAAAGAACTACCACTCGTGAAACCACAATCAAATCCAGGCTGATTATCCTCCACACAAAGAAAAATGTATTGATCCACACTTATCAGTAATCCCACCAAGTACATGAGAAAAAAATCCTGGGAAAATGCACATTTATTGTCGGAAAAAACAAGTGTACATGGCATGATATTAGGACAGCAGTCCTCATGTATGCCATAATGGTCCAAACATATAGTAACATGAAACACGAGTAACAAAATACAAAAAGTTCAAAACCTGTGAGCAGGACCACCCGCAGCTGCTGAACAAGAGGGAGGCCACCAAGAAAGCCGACCCACAAAAAATTTAGGGAAGCCCTGGATGCGTTTTGCACCTCTCCTGGTGCTTTCTCAACATGATTATCCTCCATCTGATTTAACATGGTTTATACTACATGCAATATGTACATGCAAGCTGTACATTGTCGCTTTAATACATTGAAACAAATAGCGGTGTTAGGCTTAAAAGGAAACTACAGTACCAGGAAAACAAACTCATTTTCCTGGCACTATAGCTTCCTCCTTTGTCAAGCACCTCTCCCCCTCCCCGTCTGTCGGCAGGGGAGACCTAATGCGCGGTTTGACTTGTGTTGGCTCTGCCCCTGATCTGCCTCCTTGACAGTCTCAGCCAATCCTATGAGGAAGCACTGTGATTGGCTCAGCCCACCACTTCTGCTGATGTCAGCAGACAGGGGCCGGTCAGAGGCAGACAGAGGCAGAGCCAGCAGCTGCAGACTTGAATACAAGTAAGATTTTACTATAATTGGGGAGGCAAGATAGGGCCAGGGGGGCTAGATGGTGGTTTTAACATAATAGGATCAGGAATACATGTTTGTGTTCCTGACCCTATAGTGTTCTTTCAACACTTCTTGACAGAGGTCCAAATGGTGTTAGCTTGAAGACACACACCTCAGTGACACAATCAACTGTTATAGGGGGTATAACAATCCCCTCATTAAACTCGAGTAACACAGCTCTATGCACTCAGAAAGCCAGAGCCCAAGTGGTAACACATTTATTGTGTGTATTTCCCTGTGACCTGTCCATTCTAACCACTGGAGAAGTGAGAATTCAGTGTGAAACCAATTTTAATATCAAAGTTGCTGCACTGAATGAATAGCTGACTTATTTCTCCAATTTGGCTAATTTACCTTTAGTTTGAAAATCACTTTGAATTCTATTTAGTAAATAACCCTAACAGACTCCAAGTAAGCGGTTAACCACTGATTTAGAGCAAACCACACATCACTTGGGTTAGATTTTAAATGATAAGTGTATCTCTGGCAACTGAATACACGTTTCCTTGGATGTCAATGGGATAAAGATTCAGTTATATTATGTTTGTCTCTTGTACCAGATTCCAGCTCTTAGTGAGTAAACACTGAGACGCTTTGTGGGACAGTTTGGCAATAAAGTATGGATGTATTTATTAAACCAACAATAAAATGCCAAATTGTAAAATGTGTACGGGTTATATTTTAGTCTAAGAATTGTCTTGTAAATTTGTGTCAGTTCTTATTGTGTCAATAACCTCACATTGCATGATCTCCTATGGAAAACACCTGTCTCAGGCCCCAAGTTCCCTCGTGTCAGTCTGCACAATGATGGGAACGGAATTCTGTGATCTCTTTCTCCATTCTGGGACACGATCTTATAAACGCTCATCATTTAAACTTAAAATATCATGAAAGACCCATTTTGTGGAACAGAAAATAAATCACCCTAGTGCTGAGAACCTACAGGGGACCAAATGTTATCATCATTGAGTATTATTCTGCGGCTCCAGAATGCCTAATATTGTACAAATGGAATATTGATTAGACAGCTCTGTGCATGGGCCAAGGGAACGAGCTGTCCTGGTTAGAAAAGGCCAAATAGGACAGTGAAATGGAATGCAGGAGGTCGGAGGGGTCAGCGATCTCCGATTGCCATTGTTACAGGGGTTACAAAAGTAACAGCAAATGATTGGGTTACAGGAGCCCATTATCCTTGGCCGTGGACTTGGATCCATTCTACGGAAAACAAAAGGAGGAATGTAACACATTGTATCAGTAATTCAGGGGGAGCCTGCCATGTGACCTGCACCAGGTGTTATTAAACACATCCTGATAGTGATACAAGATTTCCATACACAATGCGCCAGCAAGGATCTCTTTCACTGGATCTGGCTCCATGCTCTTTTCAGGAGACAGCGAGCATGTTTAGCTGCTCTCAAAGCAAGGTCAGTTGGGGGTATTTTTAAGGCTGATTTATTTGGGCTGCCATTGTGTGAGGGCCAGTGAGAGGGTCAGGCTCATCTACTTCCCACAATATTACTTTTCATGAACTGTGAATCATTTAACACGCAGAAAGTCAAGGTGCACGGTGAGAGGACAGTTATATTCCTAAGCTTGGAGTGAATGAAGAAGCACTGTTTGTTTGACACGGCTTTACATATCTAGCAATCTAGCCTGCGTCAACAGCACTACTGGCAGCAAGTTGTGAGAAATAGTATATAGCTCCCACTGCCGGGTATATACAGCATTGCCAGCCTGGTATATAACTCCCACTGCCGGGTATATACAGCATTGCCAGCCTGGTATATAACTCTCACTGCCAGGTATATACAGCATTGCCAGCCTGGTATATAACTCCCACTGCCAGGTATATTGGGGCCTGCTGCTGGCTGGGGGGTGGGGTCTGAAGCATCACTATAAGAACCTGGGAAGAATTGACAGGCTGTCTCTTCCTCCCAGCTGGCCGATATCACAGGGGCACCCGACCGGGCCCCTGTTTAGCAATAAAGACATAATGCACTTAGGGCCACCCGACTGGCCCCTGAAAGCGTGTGGGCACCAGCCACTGCATTGGAGACTCCCACTGTCTCATGAGACCCTCCACAGACACTCACGTGTGCAGGTGTACAGCATTGAAGTGGCTCCTGTTGAATGAAGAGTCTGCAGCTTCAGATACGTGCATTTGCATTGTACTGCACCCTTAAACCTCAATATGCCAGGTGGGGGGTGTCACCTTTGGGGGTTTTAGCAAAATATGGTGACAGAGCCCCGTAGAATGTAGAAATGATCTATTTATCCTGCCACTGGGCATTTCTATATTAAGTCACTGCTATAAGAGCAAAGAAAAGAGACTGTGCCAGGACTGAAACTGCCTGTGATAATAAACCTTTAATATATATTTACAGTAAAAATGAACTTCATGTGATAAAAGTAAGGATTCAAACTGTTTTTGAAACATTTGACTTTTTACTTGGGGTTAAACATCCTCCCCACCTCCACTACAAACACGAGAGTCCAAAGTTTCAAAGCAGGAACTTCGGTTAGCGAAACTGTCTCTCCAGCGTTAGTACAGCTATCCTGTCTTTCCAGCGTTAGTACAGCTATCCTGTCTCTCCAGCGTTAGTACAGCTATCCTGTCTCTCCAGCGTTAGTACAGCTATCCTGTCTCTCCAGCGTTAGTACAGCTATCCTGTCTCTCTCCAGCGTTAGTATAGCTATCCTGTCTCTCCAGCGTTAGTACAGCTATCCTGTCTCTCTCCAGCGTTAGTACAGCTATCCTGTCTCTCCAGCGTTAGTACAGCTATCCTGTCTCTCCAGCGTTAGTACAGCTATCCTGTCTCTCCAGCGCTAGTACAGCTATCCTGTCTCTCCAGCGTTAGTACAGCTATCCTGTCTCTCTCCAGCGTTAGGATAGCTATCAAGTCTCTCCAGCGCTAGTACAGCTATCCTGTCTCTCTCCAGCGTTAGGATAGCTATCCTGTCTCTCTCCAACGTTAGTATAGCTATCCTGTCTCTCTCCAGCGTTAGGATAGCTATCCTGTCTCTCTCCAGCGTTAGGATAGCTATCCTGTCTCTCTCCAGCATTAGGAAAGCTATCCTGTCTCTCTCCAGCGTTAGTACAGCTATCCTGTCTCTCCAGCGTTAGTTTAGCTATCCTGTCTCTCTCCAGCGTTAGGATAGCTATCCTGTCTCTCTCCAGCGTTAGTATAGCTATCCTGTCTCTCTCCAGCGTTAGGATAGCTATCCTGTCTCTCTCCAGCGTTAGGATAGCTATCCTGTCTCTCTCCAGCGCTAGGATATCTATCCTGTCTCTCTCCAGCGCTAGTACAGCTATCCTGTCTCTCTCCAGCATTAGGATAGCTATCCTATCTCTCTCCAGCGTTAGTACAGCTATCCTGTCTCTCTCCAGCGTTAGGATAGCTATCCTGTCTCTCGCCAGCGTTAGGATAGCTATCCTGTCTCTCTCCAGCGCTAGGATAGCTATCCTATCTCTCTCCAGCGTTAGGATAGCTATCCTGTCTCTCTCCAGCATTAGGATAGCTATCCCGTCTCTCTCCAGCATTAGAATAGCTATCCTGTCTCTCTCCAGCGTTAGTTTAGCTATCCTGTCTCTCTCCAGCGCTAGGATAGCTATCCTGTCTCTCTCCAGCGCTAGTACAGCTATCCTGTCTCTCAGCGTTAGTATAGCTATCCTGTCTCTCTCCAGCGTTAGGATAGCTATCCTGTCTCTCTCCAGCGTTAGGATAGCTACCCTGTCTCTCTCCAGCGTTAGGATAGCTATCCTGTCTCTCTCGCTTTAGTATAGCTATCCAGTCTCTCTCCAGCGTTAGTATAGCTATCCAGTCTCTCTCCAGCGTTAGTATAGCTATCCTGTCTCTCTCCAGCGTTAGGATAGCTATCCTGTCTCTCCAGCGTTAGGATAGCTATCCTGTCTCTCCAGCGTTAGTATAGCTATCCTGTCTCTCTCCAGCGTTAGTATAGCTATCCTGTCTCTCCAGCGTTAGGATAGCTATCCTGTCTCTCTCCAGCGTTAGGATAGCTATCCTGTCTCTCTCCAGCGTTAGGATAGCTATCCTGTCTCTCCAGCGTTAGGATAGCTATCCTGTCTCTCTCCAGCATTAGGATAGCTATCCTGTCTCTCTCCAGCGTTAGGATAGCTATCCTGTCTCTCTCCAGCGTTAGTATAGCTATCCTGTCTTTCCAGCGTTACTATAGCTATCCTGTCTCTCCAGCGTTAGGATAGCTATCCTGTCTCTCCAGCGTTAGGATAGCTATCCTGTCTCTCTCCAGCGTTAGTATAGCTATCCTGTCTCTCCAGCGTTAGTATAGCTATCCTGTCTCTCTCCAGCGTTAGTATAGCTATCCTGTCTCTCTTCAGCGTTAGGATAGCTATCCTGTCTCTCCAGCGCTAGTACAGCTATCCTGTCTCTCCAGCGTTAGTATAGCTATCCTGTCTCTCTCCAGCGTTAGGATAGCTATCCTGTCTCTCTCCAACGTTAGTATAGCTATCCTGTCTCTCTCCAGCGTTAGGATAGCTATCCTGTCTCTCTCCAGCGTTAGGATAGCTATCCTGTCTCTCTCCAGCATTAGGAAAGCTATCCTGTCTCTCTCCAGCGTTAGTACAGCTATCCTGTCTCTCCAGCGTTAGTTTAGCTATCCTGTCTCTCTCCAGCGTTAGGATAGCTATCCTGTCTCTCTCCAGCGTTAGTATAGCTATCCTGTCTCTCTCCAGCGTTAATATATCTATCCTGTCTCTCCCCAGCGTTAGGATAGCTATCCTGTCTCTCTCCAACGTTAGTATAGCTATCCTGTCTCTCTCCAGCGTTAGGATAGCTATCCTGTCTCTCTCCAGCGTTAGGATAGCTATCCTGTCTCTCTCCAGCATTAGGATAGCTATCCTGTCTCTCTCCAGCGTTAGGATAGCTATCCTGTCTCTCTCCAGCGCTAGTATAGCTATCCTGTCTCTCTCCAGCGTTAGTATAGCTATCCTGTCTCTCTCCAGCGTTAGGATAGCTATCCTGTCTCTCTCCAGCGCTAGGATAGCTATCCTGTCTCTCTCCAGCGCTAGGATAGCTATCCTGTCTCTCTCCAGCGCTAGTACAGCTATCCTGTCTCTCTCCAGCGTTAATATATCTATCCTGTCTCTCCCCAGCGTTAGGATAGCTATCCTGTCTCTCCAGCATTACTACTGGAGGTGGGTCCGCTTAACCTATCAGACCCCAAGTAAGTCAAAATTAAAAAACAAACAAAAAGTATGCGCACTAAATCAGTTTGAAACTTTCCTCTATGCAGCAGTTGAGGGGTTAACCATTTTACCGATCCCCCACACCCCCCCATGCCACCTGCTCCAGCTCCAGCTCCTGTCTCATGTTGAGGCTTTGATAATTTTGCCATTGTTTCTACATTATATGCAAGCTGTTTTTACTTCTTGGAAATTAATGAGGCGCAACTTATGTCAACTTCAAAAACCCTCCTATGAAATTTGACATTTCAACACCCCAATTATTCTAGCCATTCTCCAGCCCAAAAATCAAAGGCTTGTCCCGCAGGCGTTTGTATGGTGCGCTTCAATGCATTTCCAACGCACCAATTTTTCTGTTTGTTTATTCTGAGAAGGATCTTCAAAGCCATCCTTTTGGGCTGTTATTTATTTTAAGATTGTTTAACCCCTTGCTTTCCTAAAGTGTCAATGGAACGTAAGATGGACTGCTGCATCAGAGTTCAGAAGGCAGTATATGGACAGATGAGAGAGACTGGTACATGTGTGTATATACACTGTATATACACTGTCTGGATTATTTACTAAAGTGGGAATTTAAAGTGAATTTCAAATTTTAAGTCAAAGTAGTCGACCTAGAAAGAGTATAACACTGACAGTAACACCAGGAGTTGAAGGAGAATGAAAGGATGAAGATGGTGGCAGACATGAGGGACAAGTTCAGGAAAGTAAAACTCACCTTTCCCTACATCCCTGGGCCACCGCACTACAAGTGGTGCATTCACCATCGGGGAACTTTGTAAAAAAAAAATGGAAAGACACTAAAAGGTAGCAGAGTCGCTATAAAGGATCACTATAGTGTCAGGAAAACAAACCTCGCCCTCAGGGGCCCCCTCCCGTGGCGCTGAAGGAGTTAAAACCCCTTTGGCCATTTACCTTAATCCAGCGCCGGGCTCCCCCGGCGCTGGTGACCTCTCCTCCCCCACCGACGTCAGCTCCTGAGTGGAGCCGAATGCGCATGTGAGGAAAGAGCCGTGCGCGCATTCAAACAGTCCATAGGAAAGCATTTCTCAATGCTTTCCTATGGACACTCTGCACAGCGGATGCGAAAATCACATCCAGCGCCACAGAAGCACCTCTAGCGGCTTTCAGGAAGACAGCCGTTAGAGGTTGGATTAACCCCAAATGTAAGCATAGCAGTTTCTATGAAACTGCAATGTTTACATGTGAAGGATTAAAACCTGGGGGACCTGGCTATACCTGACTACAGTGCCCCTTTAACCCATACTTTTTCAAAATTATAGGAGCAATAATGCTGCATTAAACATCAATCTGACTGAAACATACACACACGTGCAATATCCCAGAATGTCTGCATTCGGCTGACTGGCATAGGTCAGTCAATTAATAAGCAACATACAAGTGGAACTGTTACATCCCAGAATTTTCAATATTACATTTACTTATGCCTATACTTAACAAATATGTATTGGTGACGTGTGAACAAAATTAAATGTGAAATCCACACCTCTTTATCCCACAACTGGGCACCTCCATCTTAGCTCCCTGTCAGTCATTGTTATAAGCTCCGCCCTTTACACCTGGCAGTCAGTATAGAGAGAGCCACCTCCAACTTAGCTCCCTGTCAATCATTGTTATAAGCTCCGCCCATTACACCTGGCAGTCAGTATAGAGAGAGCCGCCTCCATCTTAGCTCCCTGTCAATCATTGTTATAAGCTCCGCCCTTTACACCTGGCAGTCAGTATAGAGAGAGCCGCCTCCATCTTAGCTCCCTGTCAATCATTGTTATAAGCTCCGCCCTTTACACCTGGCAGTCAGTAAAGAGAGAGCCGCCTCCATCTTAGCTCCCTGTCAATCATTGTTATAAGCTCCGCCCTTTACACCTGGCAGTCAGTATAGAGAGAGCCACCTCCATCTTAGCTCCCTGTCAATCATTGTTATAAGCTCCGCCCTTACACCTGGCAGTCAGTATAGAGAGAGCCGCCTCTATCTTAGCTCCCTGTCAAACATTGTTATAAGCTCCGCCCTTTACACCTGGCAGTCAGTATAGAGAGCGTTTTATTAAACAATGTTTCTATTTATCCTCTTAATCTGCAACATGTACCCTGGCTGTGTCTTAGTTGGACTACTGGATTGTGATACAATTTGCTAAATCTTCTAAACTGAAAATTATTATGAAAACAATTAACATAAGTCATAAGTGATTTTATTTATTCAGGTATGTTAATTCCAGAAAAATTACTGTGCCCCTTTTAATTATTAAAATATATTTTGATCAGACATACATGTACATCTATACTAAATTGTAAACATTTAAAGGACCACTTTACACCTCAAAAGAACCTCACCTTGCACTACTTTAAATTAACTTGAGAACACCCCCGTTTGTCAATCAGGTCTGCCGCCTCCTTCCATTCGTTTCCCTGCGCTAACGGAAGTGGCAGGCCTCCTCCCACACAGATCTCAGGCCAGACAGGCGCGAGTGCACTCAATGAGAAGCCTGATTTGTTTTCCTGTGAAGAGATTGAACGTTCTGAAAGGTGAGGGCTTTTTCATAAGATCTGCAACCTTTAGAAACTCTTTAAAATATATCCACAATGAATACATGCATGCACATCTACTAAACAGTTATTTTCTTATTGGGCCATTTGGGCAGTGGTGTGTTCCTCTAAAACAGATTTAACCTCTTTGCACTAAAACGGATAGTCTTTTAACAGACTTGTTCCAGGGACAGTTAGCATTTAATAGGAACATAACTGAGTGATAAAAAGTGTGTTACATTAAATACTTCTGGAATATTGGTATTTCAGGGATTTGCACAGCAAACTAACTAAAAATAGTGTTTCATGAGAACGTATATTGTTAATATTGACTATTACCGCTGCTTTCTTGCGACATTAATAGCTTTTATTAGTAACATAGTATGTTTTTTTAAAGTGAATCAGCTTAGTGTTAACTGCCTGTGTATACTTTGATTACTTGCTTATGTTGAATTGCACCAATCAGAGCGAGACTCTGCCCTTTATAAACTTTTGGGCAGTATGGAAGGAAACAGCTTCATTATGTCCTGATGAAGCCGTCTGAGAACGGAGAAACGCGTAGACTACGTCAGCACGCGTCTGGAGTAGGAGGAGCTGAGTGTGAAGCCGGGAGTTTCGAAATAACAGTTGCATCACAAAGCCTGAACTTGCTATCCGGATCTTTATACACCGATACTCCACCTGACTCTGACATCTCCCAGTGAGAGACAGCGTGCTTGTGAGACACGGGAAAATATACCGTTGTGCTCACCATCAATTTTAGTAAGCAGCTATTTGTTTACTGTGTTTGCTATTTTAACTTGATGAATTATGTATTTTATACTTTCAATATTTTTATTGTGAATAAATGTTTATTTTTATCATCAAATCTATTAAGCATATCACATATGTAAGGCAGCACTATATTTAAAAGTGCGATTTATATCATACAGAATTACACTATTTTATTTTTAATTCTCTCTTTTACATGCTACGTGTGCTCTTGAGCGTGTAACTACTACTCATCAAGAAGTATAAGTATATCCAGTCTTCTACTATTTTTTCCTTTTCTCATTTTGATTGCACGTGGGTAGGGGCTTATCACCTAAATATCGCTCCACTTCTTGATCTTTATTTTTGACTATTTCTAAAGTGTGGTGAAGGGAATACCCTGAAGTGTTGCAGCTGGATTATATAATAATTGAGTATATCACTCATTCTAACAGTGTATAGGTACATTTTATCCTTACACAGTTTATACTATACAATTTAGCGCTCCGAGACTATCCAATTTTAGCATTTAAACTAACTAAATTATTGACAAGCTCAGAGCTATTCTTACACATTATATTCGCATTTTATGTACTCTGTTAATGGTAGTCAGGTGCATTGAAACTGAAAGCAACACATTAGAAAAATGAATAATTACTGTCCCTATCTGATGACAGCCAGAGCTTAGTTACTTTCTGTTTGTTGTAGAATCAATATTCTCGACTCTCCCTGGAAAATGAACAGTAAACAGTTCCAGTGAGACCTGACTGTGCGTTTCTCTGCGAGTCCTCATCAGAGAGCTGACACTGCTCACCTGAGGCTAACCTTTCTAAGCTCTGACAATGCTGCACTGTGTGCCTTATTGACAAAGACATAGATCACATTTGGCCTTTTACATAAACACCTCACTTTGCACGCCATTGTCTTGTGTTTTCTCCCGTTAGTGAATAACACCGGAAGTGACATAAAGACCACATAAGGTGTGGATTTACCTTACAGTGTGCTTCTTCAAATTAACTCAAAGAGAATTGTGTCTATAGCACAAGGCTGCAACATAACAAATGTGAACTAATAAAGGGGTCTGAATACTTTCTGAGTGCACTGTAACTATCACCAAATTGTCTATTGTGTCTGTATGTTCAGCTCTTCACATTTCTATCTGACCAACTCTCTTTATGTCCATCTTACCATGTGCACATTTTTCCAGCGATCTTTCTGTCTAGTTCCTTGTGCATTCCTCTGTCTAGTTCTGTCTGTCCTACTCTCATTAAAACCGTTATTCCACTCTGTTGGTGCTGGCTCTGAACCAGATCTGCCTCCTTGGCTGACATCATCAGAAATTCTGATCTCAGCCAATCACAATGTTTTCTCATAGGAAAGCAACCGATTGGCAGAGATTGTAAATTGTTAAAGCAATGCATCTCTATGAGGAAAGTTCAGTGTCTGCATAGCACCTGTAATAGCCATCTGAGGTGTGGCCAGTGGAGGTATCCCTAGGCTGTAATGTAAACATTGCATTGTTTCTGAAAAGACCGTGTTTACTGCAAAAAGGCTTCAGGGACTGATTATACTCACCAGAATACAATAAGCTGTAGTTGTTCTGGTGACTGTAGTGCCCCTTTTATATTAAATCACTTGGTAGTATATTTAACAAATATGTTTCCTGCAATTGGGCGTCTCCATGTTAGTTCCCTGTCAGCCATTTTGTCAAGCTCTGCCCTTGCACATGGCCATTAGCAGAGAGATATGATGAGAAATTAGAAAATGTTTCTACTTCTTATCCTCCAATGTAATGTGTGCCTTGGTGTGCCAGGACTGAACTGGATTGGGTCATTTGATTTGCTAAATATTTAATAAACATTTAAAAGAAACATCACATGACAAATATGTAAGTAGTAGGTGATTATAGATGTTTTTTGAAACGTGTAATTTCCAGAGAAGTGACAGTTCCCTCTTAAATGGGAAAAAAACACAAAATATTGGGCATTTATGGGACAAGGCCTTAGAGAAAAGAGAGAGAGAATTAAAAGTGAACTCCAAGCACCACTTCAGTGTATTTGTGAATATAGAAGATTGTGAGGATTCTACAGATGTCATAGAAATGCTGTATAGGATGGTAATTGCTATTCTTATCTTACTTCATTGGTGCTTGAATATAAGCTGTTAGATATTTATATATGTTTTGAAGTAGTCATGGTTCCTGGAGTTTGTATTTGCAAAGTTTGAAATGCAGCACATACCGAGAATAACCTGGAAACAGTTCCGTGCTGGAAATTTTGGAGTCTTTTTATCAGCTCGCACAGGATGCTGTCCAAAAACAACCATCAGTAGAGGAAGATTGGGCTGAGGGGAGGATTTTGCCTCGGCACCGGAACAGATGTAAGTTTAGCCTTTTTTTCTTTTATTTTCAACTTTTGACCAGGTGATGGACCAACGCAACAAAGGCTTGTTCTAATGGATATAGTTTTTAGTTGCAGTAAGCATTTTAGTCCAATATAGCTCGACTGGAAGCATAGCTGACTAACAGAACACTTTCCGGCAAGTATGCAGAGATTACAGACACAAATGACAAAACTGGGCAGATTTTAAGAAAATACGGGGGTCCTGGCACAAATGTGGGTGGAACCATTCAGTGGGTGGCATTTGTGTCTCTTATTATTCTTATTATTTAAATACCGATAATAACAATAATTTGAGGGAAACACAGTATGCTAACCATCAGTCACAAGCATGGCCCGACAAGTAGTGTCAAATCCGTATGTAGAGCTGTGTAACCTAGATTGTTGTATGGTACTGGATATAACTAAGATATTATTTCGATTAATGTTAAGTTTCCAGTAGTTTTAAAATTGCTATGTAACATCCCATTCACTGGCTACCTGAATTGTCCTCTTTTGCAGAAGCATAAACGTAAACCTATGAAATAAGAAACACTGTAGTTGTAACAGTTTTTTCTCTTCCTGATCCCTCGCTGGTACAAACAATGCAAATGGCACGCGCTAGCTTAATGCTAAGCAGATTGGTATCACCACACCGTTATGAACCCTCCTTCAGACCAAAACACCTTCCCTTTCGAGGAAATGTTCCGTCTTCCACCCCAAGCTTTGGCTTTCCCTGCTCTTTGATGTGTTTCTCTAGCAGCTGTGGTCAGGTGAAAAATGGACAATCTCCTGACCCGGACTAGTTTCATCATGTTTATTGGCAAGGCGCCACAGGGCCAGCCGGGCCTTTCAGAGGGCAAGGTTAGAGCTGGTGCATCAATGATTTATGAGTCCAGGGTGAATTTATCTATACTCAGCTATTATATACATGTAAGCACATCTGCGGGTCCTTGCAGATCGTCAGAGCTCAGTAGGAATGAGCCAATCCATGGATTTGTAATTTTCTGTATTTATTATTCCCCTGATGTTGATAAACTCTATGAACTCTGAGCATTTGGTCCACAAAGTCTGTACTTTGCTAAATAGTTTTTGTTGTTGTTTTTAAATAGCTATAGATATGCGTAAAAGTAACTAAATGGTATTAAGTGCTAACAGCAAGGTTTAACATGCTCAGTTTATTTTGGTAAACATATGGTGTTTTTCGTTTTATATTCAGATATATCTACACT